CGCCCATTGCCCAAAAAATATGAACTTAGTTTGGCCACTTTTCAGCATATTACAAATCTTCGATGTACTTGTTACAGTGTATACAAGAACCGGAGCACATGACTTGACAAGTCGTTTACACAAATCACAAAGCAAATAAAATGTTATCACCTCACAGATCATCACCCCAAATACAAGCCTACTACCTAGCCTAACCGTAGCTCGAAAGCTAAACAGGGTTGCCAGATTTGGCTGAAACCGTTTTAGGGGGGTTTGTGGGGGGATTTGTTAAATTTTTTGGGGATTTCAAGTCCATGGGGGGTAGAAATGGGGGAAGGTATCGTGGGGGGATATGATGCAGGAAATATACTATGATGGGGGATTTATCAATAAATGGGGGGCAAACACAGGAGAAGTTTATAAACTAAATAAAAATAAAACCCTGGAAAGATGGATCTGAGCTGGCAAACCTGAGTAACGATAGTTACAATCTAAGTCAGTCGACTGAACCATCCCTTCACCTCGTTTTATTATAACATCTTTGGTCTGACAGACGTTTACGTGACAACCAGAATGCATTGTATGATGTCAACAAACATGGTGCCACACATAGCTGCCATTTAGCTTAGCATTAGCTCATTATAATCAGTACAACCTTCCAAAAAGTATTTTACACACATCATATGTGTACATTAAAATCTATGCAAGAATCAGAATGCATGATTTGTCACAAGCACTTGAAAACATGTGAATAAAACAGTAAATACATTATGCTCCATACATACCTACGGGATGCTACAGTAGAAACAACAACACGATATACAGTGTTGATAGAAACGCACACATGTCCAAGGTTATTATTAGTAAGGAAAACAACAATGAAGGCAATGTGGGCGCCAGCTGGAAAATGTGGCAGGGGGAAAACGTTTGTGCAAGTTCTTTTCTGACTGGAAATACAAAAATATCTGCATACTTGATCTAGGGAAACAATGGGGAAGTGCTTGGGCTCTGGTCGAAGAGAGAAGTTTGTCTGGCTCAGTAAAGCCTCAAACATAAATTGTCCGCAACAGTGAAATGGGCTACTTCTATGTACGCGGAACACGCCTCAATCAAACTGTTGTTAGAAAATAAAACATGGTAGAAAATAATTTCAAATTGACAAGGTGAAACATAGCTTATAGATAATTAGCAGGCACCGTGCCTTGGTTTGAGGGCAGCGTGGTTTAACTGTCCTGTTGTGTAACAATCACATTTTGGAACAGTGAGTGCATTCTGACATCACACGTACAGTTGAGCGGCCTGTGTGTGTATGTACAGTTGAAGTCGGAAGTTTACATACACTTAGGTTGGAGTCATTAAAACTCGTTTTTCAACCACTCCACAAATTTCTTGTTAACAAACTATAGTTTTGGCAAGTCGGTTAGGACATCTACTTTGTGCATGACACAAGTAATTTTTCCAACAATTGTTTACAGACAGATTATTTCACTTATAATTCACTGTATCACAATTCCAGTGGGTCAGAAGTTTACATACACTAAGTTGACTGTGCCTTTAAACAGCTTGGAAAATTCCAGAAAATGATGTCATGGCTTTAGAAGCTTCTGATAGGCTAATTGACATCATTTGAGTCCTGTGGAAGTACTTCAAGGCCTACCTTCAAATGCACTGCCTCATTGCTTGACATCATGGGAAAATCAAAATAAATCAGCCAAGACCTCAGAGAACAAATTGTAGACCTCCACAAGTCTGGTTCATCCTTGGGAGCAATTTCCAAATGCCTGAAGATACCACATTCATCTGTAAAAACAATAGTATCTACAGTGAGGAAAAAAAGTATTTAGTCAGCCACCAATTGTGCAAGTTCTCCCACTTAAAAAGATGAGAGAGGCCTGTAATTTTCATCATAGGTACACGTCAACTATGACAGACATGTTCTAGAGCAGTGATGTTTTGGGGCTGTCGCTGGGCAACACGGACTTTCAACTCCCTCCAAAGATTTTCTATGGGGTTGAGATCTGGAGACTGGCTAGGCCACTCCAGGACCTTGAAATGCTTCTTACGAAGCCACTCCTTCGTTGCCCGGGCGGTGTGTTTGGGATCATTGTCATGCTGAAAGACCCAGCTACGTTTCATCTTCAATGCCCTTGCTGATGGAATGAGGTTTTCACTCAAAATCTCACGATACATGGCCCCATTCATTCTTTCCTTTACACGGATCAGTCGTCCTGGTCCCTTTGCAGAAAAACAGCCCCAAAGCATGATGTTTCTACCCCCATGCTTCACAGTAGGTATGGTGTTCTTTGGATGCAACTCAGCATTCTTTGTCCTCCAAACACGACGAGTTGAGTTTTTACCAAAAAGTTCTATTTTGGTTTCATCTGACCATATGACATTCTCCCAATCCTCTTCTGGATCATCCAAATGCACTCTAGCAAACTTCAGACGAGCCTGGACATGTACTGGCTTAAGCAGGGGGACACGTCTTGCACTGCAGGATTTGAGTCCCTGGCGGCGTAGTGTGTTACTGATGGTAGGCTTTGTTACTTTGGTCCCAGCTCTCTGCAGGTCATTCACTAGGTCCCCCCGTGTGGTTCTGGGATTTTTGCTCACCGTTCTTGTGATCATTTTGACCCCACGGGGTGAGATCTTGCGTGGAGCCCCAGATCGAGGGAGATTATCAGTGGTCTTGTATGTCTTCCATTTCCTAATAATTGCTCCCACAGTTGATTTCTTCAAACCAAGCTGCTTACCTATTGCAGATTCAGTCTTCCCAGCCTGGTGCAGGTCTACAATTTTGTTTCTGGTGTCCTTTGACAGCTCTTTGGTCTTGGCCATAGTGGAGTTTGGAGTGTGACTGTCTGAGGTTGTGGACAGGTGTCTTTTATACTGATAACAAGTTCAAACAGGTGCCATTAATACAGGTAACGAGTGGAGGACAGAGGAGCCTCTTAAAGAAGAAGTTACAGGTCTGTGAGAGCCAGAAATCTTGCTTGTTTGTAGGTGACCAAATACTTATTTTCCACCATAATTCGCAAATAAATTCATAAAAAATCCTACAATGTGATTTTCTGGAGAAAAAAAATCTCATTTTGTCTGTCATAGTTGACGTGTACCTATGATGAAAATTACAGGCCTCTCTCATCTTTTTAAGTGGGAGAACTTGCACAATTGGTGGCTGACTAAATACTTTTTCCCCCCACTGTATATCCACAGTAAAACAAGTCCTATATTGACATAACCTGAAAGGCTGCTCAGCAAGGAAGAAGCCACTGCTCCAAAACCGCCATAAAAAAGCCAGACTACGATTTGCAACTGCACATGGGGACAAAGATCGTACTTTTTGGAGAAATGTCCTCTGGTCTGATGGAACAAAAATAGAACTGTTTGGCCATAATGATCATCGTTATGTTTGGAGGAAAAAGGGGGTGCCTTGCTAGCCGAAAAACACCATCCCAACCGTGAAGCACGGGGGTGGCAGATTCATGCTGTGGGGGTGCTTTGCTGCAGGAGGGACAGGTGCACTTCACAAAATAGATGGCATCATGAGGAAGGAAAATTATGTGGATATATTGAAGCAACATCTCAAGACATCAGTCAGGAAGTTAAAGCTTGGTCGCAAATGGTTCTTCCAAATGGACAATGACCCCAAGCATACTTCCAAAGTTGTCGCAAAATGGTTTAAGGACAACAAAGTCAAGGTATTGGAGTGGCCATCACAAAGCCCTGACCTCAATCCTATAGAAAATGTGTGGGCAGAACTGAAAAAGCGTGTGTGAGCAAGGAGGCCTACAAACCTGACTCAGTTACACCAGCTCTGTCAGGAAGGAATGGGCCAAAATTCACCCAACTTATTGTGGGAAGCTTGTGGAAGGCTACCCGAAACGTTTGACCCAAGTTAAACAATTTAAAGGCAATGCTACCAAATACTAATGTATGTAAACTTCTGACCCACTGAGAATGTGATGAAAGAAATAAAAGCTTAAATAAACTATTCTCTACTATTATTCTGACATTTCACATTCTTAAAATAAAGTGGTGATCCTAACTGACCTAAGACAGGGTATTTTTTACTAGGATTAAATGTCAGGAATTGTGAAAAAACAGAGTTTAAATGTATTTGGCTAAGGTGTATGTAAACTTCCGACTTCAACTGTATAAAAAAATCTCACGCTGTGGGTGACCGTTAGAGATATTTGGAACTCATGTGTGAAAAGGTTAAGTAAGGATCTGTCTTATGTAACCATACCAAATGTAACAAATCATACTAATTTGGGTGTCCCAGATTTACATTTACTATGTTACATCTAGTCTATGAGACCAGGCTGGTGTAGTTGCTGATTGAAAATACAATCTATCAGGAAATAACACTGATCAAATGTTTTTCACACTTTTACATTGTTAGTTTCATCAGCTGTTGTACAATATGATATAAAACACAGGAACAACATAATTTTGACTGCATTGGGCCTTTAAAGTTAATAAATACCCTGTATAATATATACATGTACATTCTAGTAGGATATAAGAAAGAAAACTGCTCTATTAAATAATATATCTATCTAACATTTCCTGTCCACAGGACATTATGTTTTTGTTTATTTTCCAGCCATTTTAGTGGGAAATATGGCCGATATGGGGGTTCCCAGATAAAGATGAATTGACTTGCTTTGATTGAACTGAACTAGGCGTTTTCTCTGAATACAGGGTTTGAGGTCCTTGCCTCGTCTATCTAGGCCACCAGAGGGCGGATGTGGTCTCTTCAATCTGCAGAGCATTAATGAATAACGGGCATGCAAGTTTGAGCCAGACAGACACTCAAAATTGTACACCAGGACGGACCAGCCGACGGATGGAAGTTTGGACACTCTTTTAAAACTATTTGTGGATATATTAGACTTAATCTTTTTATACAGACTGGAATGATCCTTTTTAAACTAGCTCAACACTTGCATAATATAGAACTACTTTGCTCTGAGCATTCTATCAAGGTAAAAGACAATCATATTTAAACTCTGAAAATGACTCCTCTTTTTGCTTTGTTGCTACTTTTCCTGAGCGCTGCGGAGCCCCGACATGTCGGTCCTGGTTACACAGTGCTGAGGACTCAGAAGAGGGACGGGGCTGCAGGTGCACTGACCAAGGGGACCGGGGAGTCAGACTCAGGGGTGAATCTGAATCAGATTGGAGGTGATATGGGATATATAGAACCCCTGATGCATGAATCAGACGCTAACCAAAAGAGAATCCCCCGGGGCGCCAAGGATGGGAGCTCGAGGAAACGGGACCAGCAGTCTCCCCACAGCTACCAACACCCCAGACCGTATGAACCGGAAGGCTACTTCACCACGCCCAAGGGCCCACACCTGGCCAACAGCACCTCGGACAGGGACGGCAGATCCCGGGGAAACTCTTCCAAGAGCTCGGTGCTGCTCCACAACCCGCTCTACCCGGTAACCGACAGCTCATACGGGGCTTACGCAGTGATGCTACTCGCCCTCATCCTATTCGCCATGGGCATCGTTGGTAACCTCGCGCTCATGTGTATCGTTTGGCACAATTATTACCTGAAGAGCGCGTGGAACTGCATCCTAGCCAGCCTGGCATTCTGGGACTTCCTCGTGCTCTTTTTCTGTCTGCCCGTGGTCGTCTTCAACGAGCTCACCAAGAGACGGTTGCTAGGGGACCTGTCCTGTCGGATCGTGCCCTACATGGAGGTAAAAAGTTCACATTGAACGTCCACGCACGTGAGGACATTTCGGCCGTGTGCATTAACAAGCCAAAGAGATGCACCTGTTGCGTCACGCGCAGGTGTCCCGTTATTTCTGCATCACACCTCTAGCTTTCCTCGTTCTCCCATTATTTAATAGTAGGCCAGTCATACACACAAGTTATCATACTTTGTAATTCATAAAAAGGATTATACCTACACATATAGGGACGACAGGATGGTGGTTATAACCTACTATTCATATATTTTTTAATATCCTCCCTGTGTGAGTGCACTGGGGACTCTGCCATTAGGGCTGGAATAGTGCACTTGCAGGGTTGATGGTGCAAGCCCTGCTCTGGCTGTTCCCTTAGTCTGGGTATTTCCAATATATTTCAGACTAAATCTGTACTTAAATCACTATGATGTGTGTGTTTTATAGTTGTAATTACACTATGTGCACCACCGTGTATATAGCTGTCTTCATACCGCCCCAGTCTGCCAGCCGCCTCTGTGTTATGGTAGTTCGCCTACTGTTATGCTAACGAGCGCATCACGTTAACTCTGTGTTATGGTAGTTCGCCAATTGTTATGCTAACGAGCGCCTCACATTAATTGTCTGGCGGGTGTGTGTAATTAATTGAGGTTCTTAGGAACTCTTATCGAGGAGGGGATCTGGGTCAGACAGACCGTTCTAATGCTAGTCTATATGCTCTTTTCAATCTGCCTGAATAGGTTAATTTGCATATTCCTAGGGGGCATTTATTTGGAGCAGTAGTGTTTCCCAAAGTTTTTTTCTTGAGCATTTTCTATTGAAACCAGAGTCACTCAATCCCATTCCTTCTCCTTCTCTCCTTTCCCCTGTCCGCTTCTTTTCTGTCCTTCTTTGCCCTCACCTGTCTCGCCCATCTTCCCTCTCTGCCTTCTTCCCCTCCCTTTCTCCCCCTCTCCCTCCAGGTGACCTCTCTGGGAGTAGCTACATTCAGCCTGTGTGCGTTGAGCATCGACCGGTTCCACGCAGCGACCAGCCCCCAGCCCCAGGCCCCGCGGGTGGAGCCCTGCCAGTCCATCCTGGCCAAGCTGTCTGTGGTCTGGATCGGCTCCATGGTCCTGGCTGCTCCAGAGCTGCTGCTGTGGCAGCTCACCCAGGAGGTCTCCGTCCAGCCAGGGGGCTATGTGGTGGACCTGTGTGTCCGGAGGCCCTCCCTGAGCCTGCCTGAGTCGGTCTACTCCCTGGTGCTGACCTACCACGAGGCCCACATGTGGTGGTACTTCGGCTGCTACTTCTGCCTGCCGCTCCTCTTCACCCTCGCCTGCCAGCTGGTGACAAGACACGTTGTCGCTGAGGAGGCACGGACGAAACAGGGGAGCAGCACAGTAGTAGGAGGAAAAGGAGTACGCCCTTCCTCCTCTTTCTCTTCGTCGTCCTCCTCCTCCTCTCCCAAGAAGCAGCAGCTGAAGAGAGACCGTAGGTTGAGTTCTACAGTCGTGGCGTTGGCCATCGTTTATGCCGTGTGTAACCTGCCCGAGAACGTCTGTAACATCGCTCTGGCCTATGTCGCCAACCCCGTCTCCACGACGACTGAGGCCCTGCTGGCTCTGATTGGCCAGTTCCTGTTGTTTGTCCGTTGCTCGGCGACGCCGGTGTTGTTCCTGTGTCTGTGTCGTTCTCTGGGCCAAGCCTTCATGGACTGTTGCTGTTGTTGCTGTGAGGAGTGTCTACCCAATGGAGCCTCTTCATCATCATCATCCTCCACTACCGCCACCACAGTCTCCACCTACCCCTCCTCCCTTTCATCCCCATCATCACTCTCTCCATCCTCCACCAAGGAGGAGAAGCTGAAGATTGTGTCTGGAACCATACCAGCCATCTTCTATGACAAGGCCAAAGACAGCTCCTCTCTCATGGCCATCGGAACACCCTGCTGAGACCCCTCTCTCTGCCTTCTCCCTGCCCAGCCAGGAGTCACCTCATTGGGGAACAGAGCGACCATGCTACCCTTGGACCTCAAGAACCCAGCTCTCTTACCCCAACATCTCTCTGCCCACACTGGCTGTGCTGGGCATTGAACTGAATGAAGATAAAGGATCTCTATAATGCTGGGTCCGTAGAGAGACACTTATTTTACCTTTATTTTACCAAGAAGACTCTTGAGATTAAAGGTAGACTCAGCACTATGTACATCCTGCTTAAAGACACCTCTTGAGATTAAGGTCATTTGTTTTGAGAGACTTGTGGTTACAGACAGACTACTGAATAAACTCTTGGCTAGGGCTTTGGTTGTCTTCTATCCCTCCTAGCTGTGAGATAAGTTATGAAGATCATTACAGATGGTCCATTATGACGAGACAACATATCAATTGTAGTGGCACAGCTGAATGCTAGGAGAGATCCAGAGCTGAATCCACTGACATGAACTTTTCTTGACTTTTTTGTACTAGTTATATTATATATATATATTTTTTTTTAATACTCAATTATCCAGACAAAAAAAGCAAACAATTATCTTAGCTGTGAATTATGGTCTGGATTCTTGGTGTGTTTTCTAATTTCCTGTGTTTTATTAGTGGAGATTAACAACAGAAAGAGCTATTGAGGGATCCTCTGTCTTTTCTGTGGGCTAATTGTTCTCTCTCTAACTCCCCTCTAACCCCCTGGCCTGCACTCCGTCTCACAGTGATCTACAAGGGAAGGAATGTGGTCGAATGGTACCCTTCAAACACACATCATAACCCCCGCCACCGCTGGTGACTGACTGTTTACATGTGGAGTAAATATTCCTTGTCATTATCTGAGTAAATAACAACCACTACAGTGTAGTCTTCCTACGATTTCTCCAGAAATTGGGTGCAAATCAACTGTCTGGTGTGTTAAGAATTCACTGTTGTGTTGTTGTATTTTAGCTGTGTAGCTCAGGGTTTTCTCAACATATTGCACCTCAAGAACCATGCTATTGCTGAGCATCTTCTGCAGAGCTACTAACATTGCTCAGGGCCCGTATCCACAAAGTGTCTCAGAGTAGGAGTGCTGATCTTGGATTAGTTTAGCCTTTTAGATCATAATTGGCCCAGCGTCGTCCAGGGTAGGGGAGGGAATGGCCGGCAGGGATGTAGCTCAGTTGATAGAGCATGGCGTTTGCAACGCCAGGGTTGTGGGTTCGATTCCCACGGGGGGGCCAGTATAAAAAATATATATGTATTCACTAACTGTAAGTCGCTCTGGATAAGAGCGTCTGCTAAATGACTAAAATGTAAATAATGAATAATATTATATGGCCTGATCCTAGGTCAGCACTCCAATCTGAGACGCTTTGTGGATACGGGCCCAGATCCTAACACCACATCTATTCTACAGATAAACATTATTAATTATTATTAAAAGCTTTTAATGTAACCACTAGTCCACACAATGGCTCGTGTCAATATGTTGATAGAAGTCGAGATAGAACCTAACCAATCCCTATAAAAATTGTGAATCTGTGTACAGTACAATCTGACTGATACAATGCTGATATATTGTGTTTTACTGTCATGTGACACAACAGTGGAACATTTTGACCTGCTCAGATATCAGGACCCAATGAACAACTTTCATTGTCCTCAATATTACCGTGTACATGTATACAATCTGTACTTCTTCGGATAACTTTCCTTCCTCAAAAAGAGATCAGTCAAATCATATGAATGTAGTAAAAAATGATCAATAAATCCATTGTTAGTTTTTGGGGGAATTGGTATGTATTCTCTTGTATTGTGAATATACTGTAATTATGTCTGGTTTGAATTTAACATAGTGTATCTGAGATAGTATTTAGTATCGGAACTGACTGTATTTCAGATGTTTTGTCTTTTTTATTCAGTTGTACCCAATAAACACTGAGACAGTGTCTGTGGTCTTGTTTTTCACTGGAAAATAAATAATGGCTGAGGGAAAGCATGCATCTATCAGTGCATGAACAAGTCAGTGTCAAGTTAAAGAGACCACCATGTCTGCCCACACACAATGCACACACGCATACACATTCTCTCTAACAGACACACATACTCATCCGTCATCCCACTCGCACAAACACACACTCACAGCAGAGGGGATATTGACCGTGAGGATTTTTCGTCTGGTTGCCCCTGTCCTGTGTGTTGCGTCTCTGCTCCCTGAGCTGAAATATTTGTTCTCCCACTTAGTTCTGCCTGGGCCTGAGAGAGGGACTCTCATAAGAAGAGCATTGTTCCTCAGTCCTCTCCCCTCTCCCCAGCCCCAGCCCCAGCCCCCTCACTGCATATCAATGGCCAGCCACCGGGAGAGTTGCCAAGCTACCGTCACATTCAAGTCCCCCTCACAGTCACCAAACAGAAGCAAGAGAGAGAGACGAGAGGAGATAGGGAAGAAAGAGGGGGAAGAGGGCAGTGGAAGAGGGCACTAGGCAACCAAAACAACCCGCACTTTCCCAAACCCTTCAGTTCCCCTGTGGTTTCCATGACAATGGATGAGGGGCCTTTTTTGTCTGGTCTCTCGTTTGTTCAGGCCAGACGCTCAGTACTGCCCCATACACCAGTCCTCGCCTCATGTACGTTGCTGCACATTCAATTATATTCTGCCTACCAAGCCACCATTGAGTGTCTGAGGCTGCATAATGGGAAGGTTCATTAAAATGAGAGGCCTCTCAGACTGCTTACATTTCTCATCAGACAAGGTTTTAAAACCTGATCTGCATTTGAGATGAAGTGAGGTGGGTTTGAAGTGACTCTTGAAGTAGGTTAAGGTGCCAAAGCGCAGCAATGAATACCTGGCCAGGAGGAGGGCACAGTTATTTAAACTGTGATCCACATAAAGCTGTTGGAGTGTTCTGGTGACCCACCAAGTGAACAGGTTCTAGCCAGCTAGGAGCCAGTCTGCATGGGAAACAGCTTGGGAAAACAATATGGAGATGGTTCCTCCTAGCTCTCCAATAGCTCAGAGTAGAGATTCCACCATAGAGCTTTCATCTAATCAGTGCTTTCAGATTAGCAAGGGTACAAAAGAAGAGCATGGTTTCAGTACAGACTTCTGAAATTGAATAGCCTAACAGGACAGGACAGGTGAAAGCATGGTGGGATGCCAACTGTCAATGTGCTTTCCCCCTGTCCAGCTCTTTCTCGTCAGTGCAGATTAAGGAAAGGAGATTAGAAGAGAGAAACGGTTTAGACCATTGAGATGCAGTCAGTGTGGAAATATGCCATCTGTGTTTAGAAAGGCCACAGATCCCCACTGTATCACAATAAGGCTGCTTCTCAGCTCAGAAGGGAGAGATTGTGACTGAGACACGTTCAATAACACAAGCTGTCTATGAAGTTAAAGCGGGGTCTTTGTTGGGACACACATCTGTCCACTTATTTATGGTCCTACTCACATGTGTATGTATTTTTGGCAAGTTTATGTACATTTATTCATAGTCGTGAGAGAGAACGGATGGGAGACAATAATATATAGAGTGAGAGGGAGAAAAAGATGGAAACAGAGAGCGCAAGAGTGTGTGTGTGTGTATGTGTGCTCAGCCTCCCCCTATGTGTACTGACAGTGTTAAGGCCCTCTGTTTGTCATGTTCCCTCCAGGCTCAGCAGGCTCAGGAAATACATCCTCTGATCAGAGCCCTATCTACACGTTGCCATGGCTACAGCCTAGCAGCCAGCTCCAGAACGCTGGAGAATGCCAACAGAACCAGTTCTGGGGGTCCAGTGCTCTGCAAGCCTGGGGATAGAATCCTGCAGAGAACCCTGGACCCAGTTCCCAGAGGGGGCAGAGGTTCTGGACTTCTCCGTCTCCATGTGTCCCTTCTGTCAGCAGAACACAGAACCAGCCCAGTCCGCTCTGTCACTGTCCTGTCATTGTCACGGCTGGGGGTGGAACCGGACCAGAGTCCGGACAGCAGGGGGGAACTATATGTGAGTGACTGGGGTTGTTTTTCACTTAGGACTAGTACCAGTGACGGACCACCACAGGACACTTCCTCTGTGAGGGTGTTTGGCTTTGGTTTTAAGGGACATGGGAAACATCAATAAACCTCTGAAGACAACACTGAGATCCCTTACTATCCCAGTTCAAACAGTTATTTCACTGGCTCTATTCACTGGTTCACAGGTTTACATAGTAAGGCCTCGGAAAACCAACATCTATTGAGAGAAAATCCAACAAACAGGCCTTTTAAGATTAGACTGTTGTGGATTAAATGGTGAACAAGTGACATGTTTTCTTTGCTAAATGCCTCTACAAGGCATCTCATCAGCACCCATCTGTGTCGGACATTTGTAATCTTGATGTTCCTTCATTCTCTTGCTCTTGGTTCCAGTGCCAACTAGGCTGGACCCATAAACACTACTTAATGAGTTTGGTGAGTCTATTATGTATGTGAATGTGAGAGAGAGAGAAAGAGAGAAAGAGTGCGCGAGAGAGAAAGTCAGAGAGACAGAGCGAGAAAGAGAGAGAGAGAGAGAGATAGAGAGAGAGAGAGAGAGAGAGAGAGAGAGAGAGAGAGAGAGAGAGAGAGAGAGAGAGGGAGAGACATGTTTTCTATTGGCAGTAGTACTGTAGACTACTTTATCACTGACCTCAACCCAGAGTCTCTCAGAGCGTTCACAGTCAGCCCACTGACAGCCCTAACACAGACCATAGCAAAATCACAGTCTACTTGAACAGAGCAATACTCAATCATGAGGCATCAAAGCCAAAGGAACTGAATAACATTAAGAATGCTATAGATGGAAGGAAAGTAGTGTCAAAACCTACCAAAAAAATATTAGGCAACAACAAATTAAATCCCTTTTAGACAACTTCCTGGACAAAAAGTTCCACTGTAATAGTGAAGGTGTAAACTTGACTGTAGAAAACCTAAACAGTATATTTGACCTCTCAGCTTCCCTATCAAATCGAAAAATCTCTAACAGAAAACCGAAGA